TCAATATTGCTCGTACGATTTATCTATACAACCAAATTCTATCGAAATCTGTCTAGGTAAACTACTAAACTATTGGACTTTAGCTGTTTAGTAGTTTAAAACTGAAATGCTACTAAAAATCTATACATCCTACAAATCTTACTATTGTAGGATCCAAAAATAACTGGCTTTGTTTCACCTGGGATGTCTCAAGATACAGAGAATTATTATTCTACGATCAGGTTTACGTGGGAGGAGACTTACGGCAGACTTACAACGACTTATTATATGGACCATTTGTCCCTAGGCCTGGCTCGTATTGAAATATGTAGTGTTTGTATACAAAAGTACCTACTATTCTATAGATATACTTTATATAAATGTACACTTCTACTATCCAAGCTGATATGATGGATTACTATGTGTTTTGTTGCGTTTTCCTCGTGTTACGCTATATTATTGATGATTCGATTTACATTTTCTGTGAATGCTTCTTTTAATCGATGATGTTACTTACAGAACATGACATCACCTTTGCGTTAAGTGAAAAATTTTAATTGCTATCACGGATTTTGGAATTGTAGTAATGTTACTTATTAATTGTTACACAGGACAAGATATATATTAACATTGATATTGCCACAATAGGTTAGATGCCTAATTTTTATTTTAATGTCCATCTGGTAGATAATTTTAAATCATTAGACACTTATTTTTTATTTTCTTATAGAAACTAATACTTTCGGCGATATATTGATTTGAAATGTTGCGTGACGTCACTTCTATGTACATTTTATACGTAGAAATGACGTTTTAGCCCCCACTCCTAAACTTTGATTCGTTCTATGATAGAACTTTAAATAGAACTTCTATCTAAGTATTGTTTTATTATACGACAAAATAAAAAAATACGTATCTAATATTTTTTCATTACCTAACTGACGGACTAATTACATTTTTAATTTTCATACCCTCTCATCATCCAAATTGGAGTGTCTCCTTAAATAAACTGTAGTCTCATGAAATCGAAGCTACAAACAACTATTTGTCTATTCTATAGGTATGTCTATAGTCTAGATTTACGAAGCAGTTAGAATAATATAATAATAACTACTTACGAAATGCTAATCAGTCTTGTACCAATCACTGCATGTTCCGTCTGATCTGACGAGGTCGTTGCCCTAAGGTCGATCGTTCATTGTTTTCTGTTTCCAATCTCCCGACTACCTCCGACATATACTTACAAATAATACAAATAATAATAATAATAGGTAATTTTGTGTCTAAAATATATGATCAGAAATTGATAGTAATACGAGAATGATAATTTAAACGCGAATGAAGTTATTGGCAATAAATAAAAATTTTAATATATTTTTTGTATCGTTTCAGGTACGGATCATAATTCTGAGCTGGTTTATGGACTTGAATCTTAGAGGTATACCTGGATGTTGCAGGTAACATAGTGTTTAATATAACAGAACAAAATGTATATAATTACCTAGTCTAAGTTTATTATTCGCGATGGTTTTGTGCCAGATGTCATTTAGTTCAGCACATGAATCAGTCTGAGAATATTTGAGGAAATTAAATTCATGGTCACATTAAAAACATGATCTGTAAAAATCTATTAATGTTTTTGTAAGCTTTTTTCTGAAGCGTCTAGACATTAAAAGTCATCTCTGAAATCCTTCCTATCAGTTGTATAGTAAATATCTACTTTATAATTAAACTTCACTATATTTCCATCTTTTGAAACGACAAAGGTATACAGTATACTTGCTTCCAGTTTTCTTCATATGCAATCCATCAAGCTATTACATAAACTACCAGAACTAGGTAGCCGACGGTATTAAATCTCCACAAAACATGCAGATAGAAGAAAACTGATCAAATATGCTCGATTCAATTTATTTAAATTGCAATTCTATGAAATATTCTGTATCGGCGAACATCGGAGTTGATTTGGATCTGAAATCGTGTTTGATTGCAATTCGTTCACACTTGAACGGATGCACTTGGAAATTCTCATGTATTTATGTATGTACTTGCTAAACGACCTGGCAGTCATGTGTATGCATCAGGGGCGAGATCTCACTGCACTATTGAACTGGGACAAGTGATACGTCAACACTGTTTAAAGACGTGTTTACTTGTAGTGAGTGAATTTCTTGGTCTTCTACATATTTAGTTCTTATAGTTGGCGCTAGCGATGCATCAAGTCTTACCCGCCCTTAGCTGGGACATGGTGCTTGATAAAAGAGATCGATATTAAGAGACGTTCTATTGGTTCCTTACGCTACGTTACCACCTCTAGTGAAGCGAAAATCCTTATTCGTTAGTCACTTCGCAATAAAAAGAAAGTTTTAAACGCAAAAGTTCGTTATCGAGTTCGAAACTTGAGCCGCTGACATTTAAAGTGTCACAGACTAAAAATCAAAGTCGTGTTTTGTTTTTTTTTGCTTTATATGAATGGCAAGGGCAACTGGCATACAGTCTATGTGTGCTATTTTTTACCTTCACGCTATTTATCGAGAGTGTAACTAAAGCGTTATACACACGTTTGAGCTCTTGACCTGGTTAGGTTTATAAATAGGTCCGCCTAGGTTTTGAAACTTTCAATTTATAGTTGCAATTAAATAATTTTATTGGTATTCGTAGTAAATGTCATTTGATGTAATTTCCAATAGTTACGTAAGGTCGTGAGAAAGTGAGTGTTCGTTTATGAGCATCATCCTGCAAAATAAAGTTGCCTCATGAATGAACACCAATTAGTTGAGTTAGATTTATGAGTCAGATGTTTTTCGATTTTGCAATTTATGAAGTTGGAAATAGAGCGTTGTTGCACTTTTATAAGACACTAGCTGTTGTCCGCGACTGCGTTCGCGTAGAATAATGACTTCTGGCAGAATTTAGTTTTTGAATTAGTCTTTATCAAGGGATATTCTACGGTAACGAATGTCGTCAGAATTGATTCAGTACCTAGTATAGGGTTCCTCCCCTGTAGATAAAAACGTTATAATATGTAGCCTATGTTTTGATCCGACTTGTTAGTAATATTCTTGCAAAAATTTGAAGTAAATCCATGCAGTACTTTTTGAGATCACCCCGGAGATTCATACAGACAAAAAATTTAAAAGCCATATATATATATATTTGGCTTTGGTATCGATTGTAGATCACGCTCCAAGTCCTTTTTATTATATGTATAGATTACGAGACAAAGACACAAAGTACTGTGATAAAAGAGGTGTGTCCAAATCCACCATGTAATATATCTAACAGCTGACAAAATTATCATTATAGTAAATCTATGGTGTCATAATAACACAATATAATAGTTAGCTAGACGTTTATCAGTCGGTCGATCTTAATCCGGAGCTCAATAGCAGTGTTTAAATTGACACGTCATAAATAGTGGACTATCTAGGAATTCTATGAGTATCTAACTAACTGGATATAACTGGATTGTGGGTTTATGTCGTAAGGTAATTTATTGATCAGTTTCTCCCTCAGAAAGTAACTAGTTTTGGTGTGTAAAATAACCCGGATCCGGTTAAACTGTCAAACACCAAGCGGCTCACCGGTGACCGCCACTTATTGTTCTTTAATTGTGTCTATAATGACGGTGCTCGACGTATAAGTATAAGTTGGGTTGGCACCATAAGATTTCCTCTTTTATTTCGTTTTCCTTTTTTGAATTATTGGACAAAAAATACTCTTCCTATAGTAGGATAAAAATAGACAATTATTTTTCTATATTTTTTTCTGATGTTTTTAATCTTGTTATCAGTCATTGAGACTCGTAAGCCGATTAAGTGGGCGTGAGACTAAATAATAAAGTAATGAAGGCCCAGCAAAATAAGGAAAAATAATATCTATTTCGGCAACATATTTACAAACACTGAAATTATAATTAGACATCCGAAATATCATAAATTATTTAAGAAGGTAACATAGATTACAATACTTTTACATTTTCTACTATTATCTATATATTTATATATATCTACCTGAGTAAACAATGTCGACCTTGCCCAGTCGTACTGCAATATTTGACGGCCACTCAGCAAGGCCGCGGTCAATGACCCGCCCGGAAATAGATAGCCCACGTGCGACCTGATAGTACTCTACCTACGCTCTTTTACAAACCTATGAATGAATGTATCTGTTACAATCTGAATTACGTTATTGAGGAAATTCTTGTTGGTGGATTTTTTAAGTGATGTAACATTGTACTTACGTCATATTTGAAGACGCACGAGGTTTTCATGTTTGAAAAGAGAATGAATTGATTTTTTTTCATAATAATGTCATTATTATCTATTGGTGCCGGTATTGGACTTTGTTTATAATTTCGGTTATTATTGCAATTTATTAATTTCAGTTAGGTACTTTAACTTTCCTTAATCAAAAATAAATTATTTCGACTGTTCAATACAATAATGTATTAAAAAATAATTGCACTTTCATTGATTGATCTTATGGTCAACTTAAATTTTGTATTTTTTCAGGAATATTTTAAGAAATAAGTATGCTGTTTGACGCTAAAAAACGTGACGTCACAAGACACAATCTCGTACAAAATTCATAGAAAACTGTAGTTTTTGACAGTTCGAAAAAAGTGTTGAATTTGACTAGTTGGCAAGTACCCAATTAAATTATTATTATTTTAAACACACACACATATTCAATTAGTTTTCAGCATGTTACCGAACGTAGCGGTGTTATGAAATATGATTCAAGAAGATTTCATATCGTACTTTATACGTTTATTTAACACGTTAACCGCTGCGTAGGTCACCGGTGACCTACGTTAGTGGAGGATTTGCTTTCAACAGTTGTCTGTCGGCAGTCAAAGGCTTAACTATGCGCCTTTAACTCGTCGAGTACCGGTTTTGTAGACACAATTATAGAACAATAGGTTGCGGTCACCGGTGACCGCTTGGTGTTTGACAGTTTAATTTTGTTTTCATGACCGTACGTGCACGTCACATCACATCTTTTATCGGGTTGTTCCGTATTCATCCTATGACGTCTCATCCCATTTCTTTACTCATCCCAAACTAATATTCCTTACTGAACCCATTAAATTATTTTAATATATTTTCTTAATTCAACCCAAATGCATTCCGTACTCGTCTCCAAGCAAATAATACCAAAAAGGTATAGATAGCAAACGAATACTTATTTTCTTGCAGAAAATTAATATGTATCTATGCCTTCAATAGAACGACTTTCTAGGATTAAAAAAATAAAAAATGGTAATGTACATTTTTGAATTTTTAGTAAACAAGTCGACGCACATACCTTTGTCTATGTGACGTCACTCATAAACAGTGCGAGTGCGAGAGAGAACATGATGTGCGCTGTTTCATTTGCACACTTTATTGCACCGTTCGGCCGTCCGTCTGTGCGTTTAGTTTAAATAGCTTTAATGGCTTTTACGTTAAAAAGTGAAAGAGATAGCAATAGCTACTGTCTTGACCCTTAACCGGTTTTAATCGTTTTAACGATGTTGTGGATCTGTTCTTATCAGTTTACCACTAACTGGCATACTGTGTGTCAACGCGTGTTAAAAATGCACCAGAACCGTGATAATGACTTACGTTATGTAGAATCGCAACGAGGCCGTAAATTGTTGTTATATAACGGTTTTCAATTTCATAAAAAATACGACAATAAGGATGGAAGCGTAATGTGGCGTTGCACAAAAGCACCAGCTTGCTTTGGTAGTGTGAGAGTGTTAAACGAAGCCGTTCAAAAAGAAAATCCTCATAGTTGTGATCGTAGTGAAATAACAAATGTTGTGAAAGAAGCTTTGCACAATCTCAAGGATAGAGTGAAGTCATTACAAGGTGAACCAATATCGACAGTGTATCAAGAAACTTTATTGTCACTACATGAACGGGGGCTCAATTTAGTAACAAACCTCCCAGAATTTAAAAACATCAAGACTGGTCTCTACAACGCTCGCAATAAGAGCCATGGAGTAAAAAAAACAACTTTTAAAAATGGCGCTGAAGTAGAAATTCCCGGTACATATCAGGATTTTTTACTTTTCGACTATCAAGAAAATGAAACACGCATTATAGGATTCGCATCACAGGAAGGGCGGCAAAGAATGGCAACGATTCGAGACTTCTATGCTGATGGTACGTTTAAATGCTGTATTAAACCATTTTACCAACTTTATGTTATACATGGAGATTTGAGCAATGACAGCGAAAATTCCTATATTATCCCGTTAGTATATGTCCTACTTATGTCAAAAAAGGAAAAAACTTACACTACAATGTTCCGTTTGATTAAAGCTCAAATACCAAATTGGAATCCGAAGAAAATTGTAATTGATTTTGAAAAGGCTGTGATGAATTCAATTCAAACGGTACTACCGAATACAGAGATCAAAGGTTGTTATTTCCACTTTTGTCAAGCTCTTGTTAAACGAGCAAAACAACTAAAAGTTACAAAAAACAGAAATCAGCTCAAACATCTTGCCCTATGTTTGGCTTTGCCATTGTTACCAGAACATTTGATTGACGACGCTTATCTATACATTATGGAGGACTGTCCAAGAGAAAACAATATTACTAAATTTAATGACTATTTGGTGAAGACATGGCTAGAGGGGGGCAAATTTCCAACACATATTTGGAATGTATGCGGGCAAAAAAATAGAACGACCAACGCTCTCGAAAGTTGGCATGCGACAATAAATAGATTTATTCCAAACAAAAAAATAAATATGCTGAAATTGCTACATGTTTTAAAAAGAGATGCCCTTCTACAAAACGCGAGCATGTTACAACGACAAAATGGTGCATCGACCTCTTCGTCAGCTAATGGAAAGGAAAATGAAGACCGAATCAACAGGGCTATTCAAGAATTAGTTGATCAAAAAATAGTGCTGGGTCACTGCCTAGAAAAACTAGCTCCATTTATTTATTTTAAAGTGTAAATGTATCGTTCGAATACATAAGTCTTGGTTTTAAAAATGATATTCCTATGATTAATCTAGAAATGGAAGTAATAATTTATATTTTTTTATGATTTGAAGACGTACCTAAAGTTGATACCTATCTCAAAACGATATTGTACTAGTCTTAAGTTAATGGTCCCTCTGTAATCTGTGATTTCTATCTATTTTTTATTGTACCTAGTTCATAGTGCCTAAAGTTGATACCTATTTTAAATCGATATTATACTAGTCTTAAGTTAATGGTCCATCTGTAATCTGTGATTTTTATCTATTTTTTTTATTGTACTTAGTTCATAGTGCCTAAAGTTGATACCTATTTTAAATCAATATTGTACTAGTCTTAAGTTAATGGTCCTTCTTTAATCTGTGATTTTTATATACTTTTTTATGTAGTTGATAGCAAAAGTTAAAAAGTATTAATTTGTTGATTTTATAAACACACAACATAGCTTTATTTATTTTAAGTTAATTCTAAACAAATTTATATCCAAATGTGTACAAAACGCTTTTGATCAGACAACCCAGTAATAACATAATAATGAAAGAAGATTTAACATTGTTGATTGTGAAATGTTTGCTTAAAATATTTTTGTTCATTATAGTTGATTTTATAAAAAAAAAAACGTTTTTTAGTTATTTGAAAAGCTATAATTATGTATGTGAGAACAGAGAACAGAAGATAGGAGTGATGATATTTTTTTAAATATATGATTCTATCAAATTTCCTGCAGTTTTATTTAATAGAACAACATAAAAGCAAAAGCTTACCTTTTAAAATATTTCCAAGAAATATATTTTTGTTCAGACCGTACACACAAATCTAACGTTTTATTAGGTAGTTTTACAATAGGTTGAGCAAGGAATACGGATGGGATAAATAAAGATTTTTTTAATAATATTATTGTTCTGGGTTGAGTAAGGAACATAAATAGGTTGAGTAAGGAAAAAATAATGAGTAGGATGAGACGTCATAGGATGAATACGGAACAACCCCTTTTATCCTCGTCGAGTACCGTCATTATAGAGGTAGACACAATTACTTATAGAACAATAGGTTGCGGTCACCGGTGACCGCTTGGTGTTTGACAGTTTATAGTAGTGTTAAAATATATGGGCACTCTCCTTTCAACATTTTTGAAATCGGTTCCATGAAATAAGTAGCTATTTAATTTCTGCTTTTGAATTGTACTTTTGGAACGTGTTGTCGAAATAGAAAATGGTCATGGTGGCAAGTTATGTGCATTTGTTGCTGGTATACAACCTACGTATAGCGATTCCCACACGTTACATATATATATATTTGAATAACTTACAGGGAGTTGTAACCGTACCGTATTGTGTACATAAGGTCTATATTTGGTAAACACGCCCACTATAATACATAAGAGAAAATATTAGCAAATATATTCATGTAGATGTAGAAATCAGCCACTAGCACTCCACCTACAGGTTTGCTCTCGTTACTTGAAGTGTCTCGAGTATTGAATTTCATCCAATTCAGTTCAGGCGTTATGAGGTGATTCAGTCTCAAACGTACAAAATTGAAACTTAATGGTCTTTATTACATGTAATTCATAGCTTTACAGGAAAAAAGAGGATTTTAGATTTAATTATTTATTTTATTTATTTGCTGCCATGATCGTCCCATTGCAGGGCAATGGCCTCCTTTAATTAATAAGTGTAAAATTGTACAGTGTTTTGCAAACAAACATTACCTATTCCACACATAATATGAACAATTTAAAACATCGCAAGCGAGTATTGTTAATAGACAGTTTAGCAATAAGTAAGTCAGTACAAATTATTATTATTACAAGGAAATGTCTTCATAATAATCCTATTTCATCCCGACCAGATTGAGACACTTTAACTAATGCTAATAGATGGCAGCACTTAGTTTAACTTTACGTTACTTGCTATCAAAGTTGTATTACAAACTGACGACCAGTTTGCATCTAACGATAATGTCTCAGATCGCTATCTTGTTGATAAAGTAGATTAAATCTTAATTTATATTTATTTACAGTTCATATTCAAGTGAAACGGGTTCGGAGGTGTTACGGGAAGTCTGTTTAAGAAAGATATTTGTTTGTAGGTGGTTTGCGTCTTTATCGGTTTCGGGAAATGGAGACTTGACAATGCCAGCTGAATGTTGTATATTTTTACTAACTTCTATTTAGTTTCGACTGTCACATATTAATTAGTGTTCAATCGTTGTATTGGTGTTCTAATAAGGGTTTTAGAAAGGGTAAAAAAATGTGTTGAATAGGTAGAAAATGGTCTGTGCTTGGATTCTGGATTGATTGCGCATCCAAATATTATAGTTTGCAAGAGAAAGGTTGCAGTAGGTATGGTAAATATTTATTCAAAGGTTTTATACGACAGCCATTATGCTTTTAATAAGTGATCCAATAAACTTGTACAACCATCGGTGTAATATACAAGAACCAGTTAATAAACTTTATTGTTTAACATTTTGAGGAGATCATTTTTGTTTCTTATGGTTGCACTTGCAAACAGCAGTACTGGCTTTTGTTGCCAACCTAAATAACTTCTTGATAATTGATAATATCATATTTTAACATATTATTACGGGTTTCTTTCTCTACTATTATCATCTCTCATAGTTTCTTAGAGTCTTAATTATTCAAACGCCACTGGATACAAATACAAAAACTACCTATTTTTGAGTTATATTTGGGAAACCATTGTTCTGTTCAAGGCTTAAATTGCATTCGGAACTACAAAGATACCTTCTACGTCCACCAGATAAACAAGATAACTACACAAGTGAACTTAAATCTAGAAAGTAATTGGTCTATCCACCCACAAGGAAGCTATAACTAAAAGAAAATCGCTGCCAATAACTGCTACCTTTAGATAGCGTTATCTGCAGGTTAGAAGCACATATTGCTATCACTCAGACACGTTTTCAAACATAAATAAGCGCCTACGTGAAACTCCAGATAACTTAAACACCCGATACGGTGAAAGTCAACGAGAAATAACCCACACGGTTCATAGGAGAATGTCCACAAATACACAAAATCAATATGTTTTTGAAATGTCCAAATAGAGAATTTTCTTGGTGATGTCACGATGTCAGCCAGAGTCATCCAAAAAGCACAACTATGGAATGATGTCAATGGATAAAATTTTTGTTTGAAATATTATCGATTGAGAATTCGGAACAATACGTTTTTCGTCTAAATAACTACCTAATTGAATTAGGAAGACAATTCGGCTGGACATAATAGATTTTGGCGTGATGTCAGGCAATAGATTTAATTGTTCTATTCTTTTTTTGACAATTGCGATTATTCTGTACATGATCAATTACATCATTTGACAATCGATATTGATGATGACTGTTTCATTAGTTGAACACAACGCTCGCGTCTTGCGAGTGTTGTATTTTTTTAATAATTGGAATTTTTAAATTTCTCTATGATATCATGGCGCTTAGAATTGTGCTTAGTGTTTATATGGCCATGGTGTCGCCCCATTGGACTCATAAGATAAATAGTGAATAGTGAGTGTTTTATCGTTTGATAGATTCCTGTCATGTAAGTAATTACACAACTTTCAAAGTTTCGATCATAACCATTTTTCTATAATGTCGTGTTGTAACAACATAATCATTAGTTTTATATCTGTCCGCGCCATAACAGCTAAATAAAATCAATGTCAGCTGTTATTGTCCACTTTTCCAGTATCAATTATGTTACTTTACTTCACAAAGCGTGTCCTCACACGCACATAGATAATTATATCAACATATGTAGGTACTGCGCCATGACATTGACATGTGTCAGAGCCGTTAATGTGTTTTAATAGAAACTCCTAATGGAACTCTTTCGTGAGACCCTTGTGTGAGTGCTACATGACGTCCGTTCAACTCAGCTGCACGATATCGTGAACTCAGCCAAACTTATTCTACCTCGGCCGTGTAAACATAAATATTGTTAATGATTTTTTTGTGGTTGGTGTAATTTTTCTGATTGTTTGATAAATATGTTGAGGTTTAAAATAAATAGAACATTTAAATTGACTATCCGAAAGGTGGCGTTAAAATATTTGTGTGGTTACTTAATATTCAACAAACGTAGATATTGTGTATTAAGATAAACATATTTTCGCGCCAATCATGTAAATTACGATTGTAAAATAAACGTATTTGTGGGGTAATACCCTTTGTTTACTGTGCACGGCGCCAACCACATGGTAGTATTTATCTGCAAACAAGTTGAGGAATTCTGAGTACAATGTCAACAATACTGACATTAGTAGACTAGACAATTACATATGTCTGTCATTTGTGACTAGGTTTACTACTAGTAAGTGTAGACATATGGACGTAGTAAACACTGCATTACAATACAACGTTACATCAGATAAATGCACCGTATGTTTTACTCATCGTATAGTAAAGGCAGCAAATTGAGCTATACAAACTGACTAATAACTTCAATAGATTTTGAACTTTCTTTCACAATGGTAAGGCTAAAAATCAATGGAAGACATGGGGTAGTTTCATGTGCTTATACCTACAGTAACGCTTTCATAAAAACATAATTATTGTGTCAAAGAAAACTTTTTACATTAAATGGATATGAGGGATTTAATGGACGGCCAATGTAAAAGGTCTTTATTCGATATTATGGTGGACAGCCATTATGAGTTTCTATTCACCTTTGATAGCGTTGCCTAGCTCGTGGAAAATCGTTAAAAATGATCATAAACTGTTATTATCCTATCCATATGTCATATCATATGGGCTATATTGGTTTATTTCTACATCTGTAGAACGCAAAATGATCTAGTATATGCAGTCCAGTTACAACGATAATCGAATATACAAAATGGCTTCTATAAAAGTGAGGCTTTCGAATATAAAAAATAAAAATGTATGGGTAGCTTTCAGCGGCTTATTGAATCAATAATCCAGTTTAAACTTCACATGCCGGTCAAATTTTATTAACGTGGAATTCTTTTGTTGGTGTATAAAGTACTGGTCTGTAATGTAGCGTGGTGTAACCTGTTACTGGTTGTGGAAAGGGTTTTTAGACCCATATGAATATATTATAGTAGCTAAGATTTGTTAATATTTACACGAGGACTGAATGGAATAGTTAGTCAAAGAATTACCTATTAGAGTAAAATTTTTGTAGTAGCTATGTATTGACTATCTTTAGTTCTTCAAAGTAACGTCTTTTATTTAGCCACAAGGACTTGGATTTCCTCATTATTATAAATCTCTGCTCGTGAGATCGAATAAACGCATTTTATATACATACATCTATCGTTAAAATAAGTTCTTATTACTGTATACCCACATTAATCGACTTGGTGCATTTTACGAGTGTACATTTTCAATCACGACTGGCCGGCCATTACTGATATTAACTGTTTAAAGTTTTAAACGACTCTTTGTACAGGGGATTGCGTTTACGTGCTATTTAAAACGGTGCTCCGACCAATTACCTACGCTTGATAGTGAAATGTATTGGCAATTGAGAGACTTTATGGATGAAAGTTAATATAATTATAGTCATCTTATTAAGCGGTTTATGTGTTTGTAACCTGTTCAAACTGGTTCAAACTGTTTTGGCATGTGAACGTGGATCTTCAATTGATTCTAGAATTGCACTATGTATTGATGAATTATAATAATGTCTCTTTATTTATCAGTCTATATTAATGTAACAGACATATCGAAATAAGGACACTATTCATAACTCTGTACAGGAAAATATATGAAAATAGGATATAATAATACAACTTACTGTGCCCTACACAAGTAAGGCGCAATAAAATCCTATTTCACTCTCCCTCGTTAGTCGTTATCTGTATATTTTAACTCGTTATGTATGCAGTAAATTTTGACGATTGACGCGTTGATGTTTCGGCTAGTGTCATTCAGTTTGTTCGTGTGGCTGCGAATTTGTTATCTCTAGTGGTTCATTAGGCGAGGCTTGCA